TAGTGTATATGCCACACGTGTCTCTGATATTGGAGGTATGTTAATCTGCCGGTTTGCGTGGTGGGGGAGACTATACAGAAGGGCATAAAACGGGATTTATTCGAACGCGTCAGGTATTTAGAAAGTTCTACGTATAATTTATGAAACGACCGTCAACTGACATGCTTCAACTGCTAAATGCACTGACCTTTATTGACGATTTGTTCCACTTTGGCGTGTGGAAATCTTGAATAATTTCCTTCGAAATAAGGACAAATTCCAGCACGCTTGAGCATGTCAAGGTAACGATTCATTTTGCAAGTTTGTGACCTTCCCACTCCCTCACATCACGCAAAATTCGTCATATTGATGAAATTTACAGTTTTCAACACGTAGTCAACCCACATTATTTCAGATGTTTCAAAGTTTATCGTGAAATAATTTGTAGTACGAGAATTGTGTAAATAAAAAGGTAAAAAGGCATCTTTTTAAATTTATTTCATTAAATTAGCAAATAGTATATTGTAACAAATGTGTAGTCTATACTATAGAATTGTCTCCATAACTAAAAAAGTTAGCATTGCGAAATCTGTGTATGCGCATATTTGATTTCTACAATATGCTACATGTTTGCCTTTACTAGAAGCATCTGTCCGGTTAAAATTCCAACAAAGCATATTAATAAATAAAAAATTTGATATTGCGCAGCCTGCGCATTCGTACATTAATACCGCCTGACAACATGAGTTGGAAAATGCGCTAAAATTACATTGGGCACTTAGCGGGTGCTGCCAGAAATGACTAAGTAGAAGTGCTTCTTATAGTTTAAGTTAAAAACTTCTCTCTCGCCCCAAATTTCCGCTTACCGCTAAACCGAATATCGATTCTTTTCAATTAAATCTTTTTTTAGTATTTTTGTCATTGATACATTATAACTATCATCGTTACCTTTAATTAAGATAAAACGTTGCCGCATAAATTTAACGAACTCGAAAGAAGCACAACTGGTTTCGAATCTGCGTCATCGACCGTTACAGGCGAATAGCAGCGGCCTTGCCCACCGAGCTATCCTTATCGCATGAAACTTTGTACCATTTCTACCCTACTCGCCATCAGGTAACTTTTGAGTAAGTCTTGCACTCGCCCATGAAACTTTCGTAACAATCCTGCTGCATGTTGACTGTTAAGACTACAAGACATTACTCAAAATAATAAGCACGGAACCGGAAGCACAGAAACGTAGTGTTTTAACCAGCTTTGGTCAGTGAACTAACAGTGTTCTTGAGACCACACATTTTGTAATTATACTAAATTGCTATTGGTACAAGATTGCGATTGTAAATCCGACCTTTCAGTATTTGTAACAATTTCATCATAGGTATATATCAGTTAATACTTCTATGGCATTTGTGAATAAATGGAACTTAACGACAAACTCCTTGTCGTTCCCTTTACGGAAATGATCTGGTCTTTGGCCTATTTGTCTTGGAATTGGTGGGTAGTTACAAAATTAAGTTTGATGATGCCTGCTCTTCAAACTTTTATGCCGACGGCTAGCTCATGGGTACTAAACTTGTTTTTATTATCTTGAAGAAAGCTGACCTTTTGCTGTTTACCTCATCATCATCACCTTGTCGCGCTCTTAAGTGATCACTAGATTACAGTTGACAATCAAAACAAGAATGAGAATTTACCTTGTGACACTTTGCTGGTTAAAACAATGCCATGGTCAAGGTCATTAATAACCTCAAACTGTGGTCAATAACGTATGCACACTACTTTAGATGATAAGGAGACTCGTCTGCAATTTAAATTTAAGCAGGTACATAATAACGCATTCAACTTTTTTATGGTTTTTTAGATTCATAGTTTGGACCCAAATACTCCAAACTAATGAATATACATAGCTCTTCATTTCATTTATATAACTGACATAATTTTCTCATGCCGAGCAATTGACCAGCAAGAAATTCATCACGTGAATTTTCGGTGTGAAAATGGGCGTCAAATGGACAGTAGCAAAGTAAATTAATTAGATTGTTCTGATTGACTTACCATACAAGCTGATAGGTTTTCCCATTTCTTTAATGCGTTAAAGAAATGTTGTCCTAGAGAACCACTTCCTAAGGGGTGCGTAGGTTTTGGTCCACTCAAGATATACTTCTCCATGATGCTAACAAGTTATTCTTTGCCACTGCCTTAAAGGATTATGGTTAGGAATTACTTTCTTCGGAATTAGAAGATAAATACGTTGTTTATTGCTCGCGGATACACGCAATAGCAATATCAACTATGTACCCATCGTCCCACATAAATTACTTATTTTATTGTAAGGAAATTAAATTATCCTATTACTATTAATTAAGATTTTTACATAAAATTGTAGTAATGTTTACAATTTTCTAGTCGGGAGTATCGGAGGAATGATACACGATTCATTTTACCTTTTAAATCGTGGTAGGTGAACCTCAAATCCTTCTCCTAGAAAGAGCTCCAAAATCCTTCTCTTGAAAAGAAACTGATATCGATCGATTAATTAACTGTATTTGCAACAGTGAACAGGAACGTACAGTCCAGGTGGTATAGGAAGTCAAGGACCCCTTCACTTTGTCCTAATTTAAGGTACTGAACCCTACATAGAGTTGCAAATCACGGATTCCACTTTCCTGAAAACAGATTGTTGTACTGCCCTTCTGGCTTCCAAATAAGGTCGGCTAGGATTTACCTGGACCACGTCTTCAAATGAATCAAAACTAAATAAAAATTTACGGCTCAGGTGGGAAATTGATAATGAATTAAGCGGAAAATACTGGAATATAAAAGAAATAAGTAATTCTGGTATGCGATTCAGAATTAAATGATAAATTCTGATCGGTTAGTGAGCTCTTCTAAAGGTCTCAGGAAAAAGTACCCTCTGAAATATAAAATCCTAATTTTATAAGGACAGGGAGAGTAGCACAAACTGAAAAGTGGTTTAATTTCAGAGGACCACAGCTGGCGACATGTAACGGATGAATTTTACAACACTTACTACAGGATGTTTACAAAATAAAATTTCTACGTTACCAATTTCGATTATCCTTACATACGCTCGGTTTGAATACCATCTATCGCAGTACTGTGACGTCTAAAGTATTTTATACTATGCAACCTGCGTTCAGTTGGATTATGAGTCTAGGGGCTGGAAACTATAAGTCGTAGGGATGTTTTATTTGGCTTGTTATACATGCGGTAACGAGGGGTCATGTGTATTTGAATTTGTATTTTAAATAATTGGCTTATTTATTTTGTTTATTTAACTGTTAATAAATTACGTGTTATAAGATTAGATTTAAACATATGGAAATTATTTGCGTACCTAGTATTTGTAAAAATTTATCTCATGTTTTTCTTCGGTCCTAGATAAGGAGTTTTCTTATCGCTGCGTACGCTAATTATATTTCAAAAAAGGACGTTTTATCGCCGTTAAAAATGGACAGGTGTGGTTTGATTTTTCTAAGACGGCGCAGTATTTTATTAAGGGAGGAGAGGAATATGAAGCGTTGTTAAATAGGAAAGACGGACGTTCAACGAGGCTTTTTTCGATTGTTTAATCGTGACTCTTTTTGGTGGAAGACGTAAATAGAGTTTGTTTGACGTGAAAACGCAGAGCTATTGGATTATTAACGCTTTAAGGTAATTAAGATTCGCTTTAATTAAATGTGTATCAATCGCTTGGTTGCGTGGTACATGTGCCTTGAGTGCCTGTTTTTCTTACAAATTTCAAATAAATTTGTTTCATTTGTAAATGATTGGTTATGTGATTAATAGAGTCCGAATTACGACCTAGACAATAGTTCATCTTGTAGTGTTTATTTCGTTGGTTGCACGATTTTGACTTATTACCGTACTACCCTAGCGAAACCCATATTAAGGGATTGAAACTAGAGGAGAGTTTTTGAACAATACGGATCGAGCTGAGGAAAGTCTCATTCTATATATGCTAGTGTAGTGTGGTCACTATTCTAGCGATCGTTAGGTATATCGTGGATAATGTTCACACTAATTTTTTAATCGAATTAAAGCAACACCAATACTATTTTTAATATCAGATTAATTGACATTTTTTAATTCATTGTCGTGTGAACCAAAACTAAGTAGACAACTGTTCCAGATCCGCCCATATGCATTGGATCGCCACACTAGTATAGGTAATCCAGAAAAAATGTGGTGTACTTCTCAGTGATTCTACTACGACCAGTTTCATTAATTATAAATGTCCAAAATTTGTTTATATCGCGCCGTATACGTCTTGAAAGTTCTTGATCTATTTTATCAGATGATCAGTTTTGGCCTTAATTTTGTTTTATATAATTTTATTTTCTGTGATGCACCTTTGTGTCTAGGAAGAAATAATGATTCTATTTTTTGGACCTTGAACCATTTATTTATATTATTATAGGTTCATAACTTGCTCGTGGTTTCAAACATCTTTCTTAAATCTTTCCTGCATATTTCTCCCGTGCATTTTTAGGTATAAAATCGACAAAAAATATTCCGCCACGAACTCTACTTTCCTTAAAACGGAATGTCCTCCTGTTTTCCAAATAAGGTCAGCTAGGATTTACTTGGAATACGTCCCTTAAAAAGATTCCATCGCGCGATCCAAACAGCACTATTAATTTAGAGATGTCAAAAATAGCAAGCTTAGGTTCTGCCGTCGCGATCTATTCCAAACGGGATATGTTCTGAACGTCATTTTATATCGTGCACTTGAAATAAGAATGAGAGCTGTCATTAGAATGCACAATCATCTGTTTCACTTTCTCTACCCTTACGATTAAAGTGATCACTTTATCTATCCTTACAGTTAAAGAACGGCTTAGGCTACTCATTCAAACCTCTTAAAATGTCAATTTAACATATATGCTATAAAATCTAATAATTCGTAGGACAAATATACACAAAAAAATTAAACCTGTTTTTAAATATACAATAAAACAGGAGCGCACTAAACACGTCTATAAATTTGGTTTGGTTGAAATTTGAAACAGATGTTTACGTATAACTTTGTATTAATAATACTAATATTATTTCATTTGACAGCTCGCGTTAAAAAGTTATTACCCAGTGAAATGACTGTGTGATTAAATACAGTTGTGGACATAATAATAGTCGTGTGATCAGTGCAATTTTGGTGAGTTTCCGGTTGCCTCATTGGCTGCCATGTTTGTGTTGCAGTTTTGTTTCTGAAGAAGTCAACATTTTATTTTCTCCACTCTCCACTTTGAAACATTTATTCATATTTATTTATTTATTTAGTTCATAATTTGCTCGTGGTTGCTAACATCTTCCTTAAGTCTTTTCTGCTTATTTTTCCCGTGGCATTTTTAGGAATATAATCGACAAAAAATATTCCGCCCCGTAGTTGCTTTTCTCGAGACGCATTAGCTACAAGGAATCCCATTATAGTGAAGTTTAAAACGTCAAAGCTTACCTTTTACGTAATCTTGCACCCCCTTTTCTGATATATTTGCACCGACATCAGTAACGATGAACGCAGTTGGAAGTTCTCCAGCTAGAAGATCGGGTTTTCCCACAACTGCTACCTCCTTTATTCCAGGATATTCTAGTAAAAGTGCTTCTAGTTCAGCTGGGGCAACCTGCATACATCAATTCCCATTGTAAAGACAAACGTTACCTACTTCTTATATTATGACGATCGATACTTACTTGGAAACCTTTGTATTTTATCAATTCTTTAAGCCTATCTACTATGTAGAAGTATTCTTCTGTGTCGTAATAAGCCATGTCGCCGGTATGGAGCCAACCGTCTCGGTCAATTGTATCTTCTGTTGCTTTGGCATTTCCCATATATCCCTTCATTACAGTATCGCCTTTAATGCACAATTCGCCGGTTCGATTCGGGCCTAGAGGCTCTTGAGTGACTATATCAACAATTTTTGCATCTACAAATGGTAAAAGTTTTCCAACTGAGGAATACTTAACACAACCCAATGGAGTACTAATCGAAACAATAGTTCCTTCCGTTAATCCGTATCCTGATCGCATCTCTTGAATTTGAAACCTGCAGGTATATATAAGAAAACACATTTTATCTAGGTACTGGTCACCTTTGCTTTGCTTGCACAACTATCTGCTTGGAAGTAGGTGCAGCACCATACACAACTTCGTTTAGCTTTGACAAACTGCGGTCGTTCAAAGTCTCTTTCTTTGCAAGTGATATAAGAATTGATGGAACTACACAGAGGCTTTTTACTTGAAACTTCTCGAGAAACTTTAGCAACAAATCTTCCTTGTAACTCTCCATTATAAAAACATGTAAGCCCATAATAAGGTACCCTAATAATATAGAAAACCCGTAACCATGAAAAAACGGCAAATAGTTGATTACAGCGTCTCCTGGTCTGAGGTCCCTTCCAAACATACACTGCGGATCCCTAAAATAATATCAGTATAATAATTTGGGATGTAGGTATGTTGTGTAGCTCACACGAATTGATTATATCTAATCATCATGTTCTTCTCGGTCAACATAACACCTTTGGGAAATCCTGTGGTACCCGAAGAGCACAAGACAAGAGAAACATGTTTATTTCTATCAAGTTCCGACAAAGCATACATTTCAAGAGAGCAATTTTCATTAGAAAATCGTTCAATGAAGTTGTTTAACGTTTCTGAGTGTTCTGTATCCGTACAGCCGTCTAAAGTTATAATTTTTTTAATAAATGGTAGCTTTTGCTTCAATTTCACAATCTTTGGCAACGATCGTTTTGAACAAAATACAATTTGGGGTTTTGATATCATGAAGACGTGGATAATTTCACCTGAAGCACCATATAAAAATAGAGCATCTATCAGATGTGCAACTTACGGTCTGTGTAATTAGGATTGACAGGAGCGACAGTAATACCCACGTACCATGCGGCAAGGACCGGTTGCATGTAGTATATGCTGTTCTCACTGAATACGGATAGCATTGTACCGACGCCAAATCCATTTCTTGTCAAGCACGTAGCTAGTCGACACGTTGTTTTTAGTAGTTCCCTGTAGGAAATAGAACGCCCCAATTCTAGGTCGGTCTAAAAAAGGTACACCAAATGAAATTCTACTCAGATCATTTTCATTATAATTTAAACTGGTGATTATGGTATGGTTTATAGTTCGTGTTTTGGACCCAAACATGCATATACATTTAACAAGCTATTCATTTTATTTACATCAGTAGGCAATTAACCGACGGAATTCCGTCATGGCGGGCAATTGACCAGTAAGAAAGCCATCAAGTGGTGCTGTTTCGACGTGAAAATGGGAGGATACCACATGGACATGTAGTAAAATAAATTGATTAAATTGTTCTCATTGACTTACCATACAAGCTGATAGGTTTTCAAATTTTTTTAATTCGTTAAAGAAATGTTGTCCTATACTACCATTTCCTAAGGGCTGCGTAGGTTTTGGTCCACTCAAGATACGCTTCTCCATGGCGAAACGAGTTATTCTTCGTCACTATCTTAAACGATTATGGCTAGGAATTACTTGTTTCGGAATTGCTATATTAATATGTTGTTTATTACCCGCCGATATACGCAATAATAGTGATATCAATTATCAAGTCCGTTGCCTCATCGGCCAAGCTAAAATCATGATTTACGCTATCCCTATAGGGAAAAGTCCATATATATGCTTAAGTTAGAATGATATTGTATCTAAAAAACATAACATGGAAGTCAGGGACCTCAGAGTACAAGACAATCATTGCTCCTACCTCTCTATAAAATAAGGTTTCCTTCTGTTTTGGTATTAGATAACTAGGTGTTTTATAGATAAGGATTGTGAATGGGAAAGAGTCCTTTAAACTATATATCTAACACCGTGTTCTCTTCGGGATTTTTTATTACAAGGCAGTTTTCTAAATCAGAATTCGTCTTTTATTAATATTTTAATATCCGAGCAAAATGTTTTTAAGGCTAGCGTAGGTACCAACCATGTTAATAACATCAACGAAATTAGGTACGAAAAATGAAGCAGCGTACTTTAAATAGTTAAGTAAAAGACATTATCGTAGACGACGTATTTTATAAAGAACAATGAATAGTTTAAATTTACCTTAGAATCTGACCACAAATATGAAAGATAGCGCTGCACATGTGCAATCCATTTTTGACGTGCTACTTCAATTTCAGTTTATAAGAAGAATTTTATTTCAATGCTTTTCTAAATAAGAAAGTTGGAACTGCGCATGCGCAAACCTAAATTTTGAAACTGGCGTTTGATTTTCCTTTATTCCAAGTACCTATGTATCAAATTTCGTTTAAATTCTTCTATAAATAAAAAAGTTGGCACAGCGCTTGGGCAAAATAAAATTTTGAAACTGGCGTTAGAATACAATTCGGTTTATAAATGGTCGAGATGCGAAAAGGGCACCTGTGAATTTTGAATTGATAAAAGCTATGCCCAGATTGAATTTCATGCAATTCAGTTCATAACTAACGGAGGTGTCAAAACGATCGGACATTTCTAACCAAAGTTATCGTTCACACGGGCAGATAGAGGGACAGACAGACACAGGAACAGACGGACAGACCCACAGACAGACGACAGACAGCAATACAAAATTATAAACTATCTCTAGGAGCGTTCACAAACGGCAAAAAGTGTAAAATTATGGAGAATGTAAAAAATGGTCATTTTGGTTTTTTTTACAATCACTATTTTTGCAATAAACGCAGAAAAAATTCCTTCCTTGGTGCAAGCCTCGCCACCGTAACGAAGATAAAAAACTAGTAGCGTCTCAACGAACGCCGGACAGACCGACAAAGTGGCCACAATAGCGCATTTTATTTTTATTTTTGTGGAAATGTGCTAAAAAATGATTTGATAATTGGCATTGTATATTGAAAGTGAAAGTGGCAACATAAATTCAATCTGAATATTATATTTACAATTTTTTAGTATTATTGCATGGTTTTTACTTTTTTAACTTAGCGCACTATTATACACCGGTGCCTACAGTGGCGGAGCGAGGGGGGGGCGGACTGCACTTGCACTTTCACTTTTTGAAGGGCGGCAGCATCTTACCCAAGTAGTTCACAGAAAGCTTATAGAATTCTAATATCTAATTAATCTAAATCTAATTAGGTTGGAGAGACATTAATGATTAATGTTGAACTATAATCTCACTATAGTTTTCGCCTCCTCCCATCAACCCCCCAGGGGCGACAATTTTCTACGACAACGTCTGCTAATAATTTAGCAATCCACTTCATGATACCTACAACACTTACTACAGGATGTTTAGTAATGAAATCTACGTTACCAATTTTGATTTTTCTTACATATCCTCGGCCTGAATAACATCCATCGCACAATTGCTTGTGATTTATATATTTATTTATTTATTTTTATTTATTTATTTATTTATTAGACCTCTCTTGTTCTGGGCCCTCAACAAGCTTGCACATTCGCCGTTATTTATTTCTTTTTCGTTGCGTGGATTCCGCTTAATAGATAGAAAATTGATCAACGCCGATTTGTCAACAAACTGAATTTGAGTGGGGGAAATTTTTTGATTAGTGGAAAAAGATTCAGGTAACGCGAAGGAGCCCGAAGGGAAAATGGTTTTCGGGGAACATTTGCACGTAGACTCCTTAGCGCAGAGATTTGTTCTTTTTTTACAAAATTCGAAGATAAACCCTCGTGGGGTCAAGTAAAAGAAACCTTGACAGGGCCTGTGGGGAACCAAATAACTGTTTAGACAAAAAAACAACGGATAAGGTGTTCTGTTTTAAGTGTATTTTAATAGGACTGGGGAAGGTTAATTTTGAATTAGTTGGATTATTTCTTATTGTCATAATAGAGTTTTAGTTCATTAATTTACTCCCACGTAAGTACAAATTTGTGACAGCGCCTTAGGGGTAAGCATATTAAATTTTCAACATGATTATGTCAAAATCCATGTAATTTATTTATTTATTTATTATCCCTCTCTTGTTCTGAGCCCTCAACAGGCTCGCGCCCAATTACAGAGTGACCCGCATAATGCTTTTTAGAGGTGCCTCTGCAGAAGGTCTTAAGTTGTTCTATACTACTCCGGTATTTACCTTACGAATTAGGAAAACTTCTTGTTTGGTCACACGAACGCTGACAATCCGATTTCCTAAGCATGCTCTACACTGCTTACATCACCCCAAAAACTAAACCCAACGGGTGAAACTGCCCGCGACGATATCACGAACTCTTCATTTATTGGGCCAGGTTTTATTTTTTACTTTATATGCCTTTACACGGTGAGTGTGAAGCGGGATGTGATGAGGGAATTGAAACTCACTTCTTTCGCGTCGACAGACTAACTTTTCGGTCTACTACGAACGCACGGGTAAGGGTGGAACTCAGGATCGATTGGCTACGGAAACTGGTATCTGAGAGATGAAGTGGAAACCACTCCAATTAGTACAAATTTCTCCAAAATTATTCCAATGTATACTCGATAAAAATATATATAAAGTAAAATCATTGAATAATAAATCTTATTATTCAATGGTAAAATACAAAATAGGGAAGCAAAAGGCAATAATTAATCCTTTTAGCGAAGTTAATAAATTAAATGATGCCCGGTGGCCGTAACTATAACTTTGAAGGCAAATGCATTTATTTATTTATTTTGTAAAAAATAAAGTTTTCTAACAAAACCACACGGCATTTATTGTATAATTATGTATATCCATCCATCTTTCAGTTGTACTTATTTTGAAATTTGCATTTTTTTTAAACCAAACAGGCAGATTGCAGATAAGTACAAAGAGGTAGTACAATTTCACAAAGCATCTTACTAAAGATATGAAATAGGTATAATAGATATAAGTGCGAATGATAATTTGAATAGAATTCTAAATTTATTTTTACTGAATAAGAGCTGTTTTGTTTAAGAACTCAACGTGTAACTTAATGAATTAATAAGAATTTAAATAAGTTGAACTATAGATCTTGTTCTTCCGCTGTAGGATGTCAGTAATAATACATCAAGGGGCGCCGGTCCATTCATCAACCTCGCTGACACTATGACATATGGAGAGCACTGCCACGGGACCGTATCAAATATCTTTAGTTATTATCCCGAATTTTCTTTGCCGATTGTTTTCTATTTCTTATTTTGCCTAGTCAAAAGTTATGTGCTTTTCACATGAATTGAGAAGCGTTACTGGAAATTCGTACTTGAATTTTATTATGTATTTAATTAAAAAAACTGTAACAATCCTTTAAGAAGGAAATGAAGTAAAGGGTATAGGAAATAGCTTCTTATCTGTATACATATATAATGAACCAATCTTTATTTGTAATTAGAAAATTAAATTAATTTCGTGTTCAAACTAATTCAAGACAGCAGAACTACCAAGTAGGATAGGATTAAGGGTTTATATTTTCAAGTCTAAAAAACGGCAATACAATAATCCAAGGTTTATAAAAATCGCTCCCACTAATACACGCCATTTGTAAATTACATCAGTGCCTCTAGTGTTAATCTGAATCGCGAATAATTTCCCTTGGTGCGACATCCGTAATGATCTCATCTATATCGGTTCCCAGAGATTACCTAGGGCGAATGCGGTTTGCTCTGTTCGGTTGGATTTTCGAAAATGGAAGTTTTAGTACCTCGGGTTGGTAATTGACTCAGCTTGATACCCCAACATTTGAAAATGAAGATAAGAATAAAAGAAAATAATTTTCCCTAAAGGTCTTTCTTGCTGTATGCAATGGAATGAAAAATCTCGATGTTGACTTTAAATTAATAAATTAGGAGATTCCGTAGCCTCGATCAACTTCCGAAAATTCCAAAGAATTAACCACACAAATTTCCACTTACACCTGACAATTTTTGGGCACCAAACGAAATATTTGACATAAAATACTCTATCTGGATCGCACAATGGATTCGAATAAATACACAGTTAATTACTTGGCAATGTCAAAAGTTTATTCAGAAACACACGAAAGAATTAGAACAAAATCCCTGAAAGAAACAAAAGTTTACAAAGCTTGTTTTGCCATAATACCCCGCAATCGAGTGATCGACAATTGAAATCAGAAAACTTAAAATTACATACTTAGTGTTTGTCTGAATACCCCATATCATCTGGTCGTATAAGATTTGCCGGAGACGGATTTAAAACTTAAAACTAGCATCTTGTAGAGGGAAAAAAGTAGTCATAATAATGTGTCATTTATTTTAAAACATCTTTTTAAATAACGTAGGCAAAATATATACACGATTTTGCAAAATTTCGTTTTATTCCGGATATCTCCAAAAGCTGTGGGAATTTTTCCAGTTTCGAAACTGGATTTTTTTAAGCATCAAAATACGCAACTTTGCCCAATTTAAACTACCTACCTATCTCTTACAGTTCCCGAGATCCCCATGGTGGCCCTCGAATTTGAATCAGCCTGTATAGCCTTTTTATTTTGTTACCAGTAGTCGGGTAGGACTTAAACCTCTCAAGTTTGCACGATCTTAATGATTTCATTGAAAAATTTATATTTATACATCTAAATGATGAGCGATCTTG